GCGGGGCGGCATGGTGCGGGGAGCGCGCGCGGTGCAGGGAGTCGCGTGGTGCGGCGAGGGCCGTTCGACGCCGCTTGCGGCTTTAATTATTTCTTTCTTTCTTTCTTTCTTTCTTTCTTTCTTTTTTCTTCTGCACTTTGAGCCTTAATTTGACCCCCTGAACATGCATGAAAAGTTGTTAAATTTTGCCCAAAAATCAGACCTGGCGAAAAATTTGATATTTTGGTGTTTATTTTTATGGGACTCAAAAAATGCCAGAACAGCGCCACCTACAACAGCCAAAATAATACCCCTATGGGAGTTCTGAGGATCAAGTTTGTTGTAGAGTCATGAAATTCGGTACACATGTTCCGCAAGTCAAGACAAGAAAAAAATATTATTATGGCTCCGCCCTCTGACAAACAGGAAGCCCATAAATTTCACTGCAAAATGGAAAAATGAACAGCAAAAGTATTCATACATGTCGGTTGGAAAGCGACTCCTCCTCGGCCGTTTCACCGATTCGCCTCAAAATCGCTCCACATCATCTCAACACATGTACCTTCAAAATGACCTCAGGGATTTTTGATCAGTGAAACATTGTTTGAGCAGCGGAGCGGCAAAATGTGACCTTTTTTGGCCGTTTTTGACAACATTAAATTTGCTCCCGTTTGCACAAACAAAGTCTGATTTGCAAAAAACATTAATACATTGTTCAACTCTAGGGTCTAGGTCGTTTTAAAGTGAATTAATTCAAATTGACACATTAGCGCCCCCTACAGACTATTTCAAAGTTTTAGATGGGCATTTTCAAATTTAGTTTTTTCAAAATGTTTGAAATTTTGCACATAAATCTGTTTTGCCCTCTTGATTCAAAAAGTCAATTGGGTCCAAGGTTTATTTTTTACCCTGTTGCCGTGGCGACGAGAAACGCTCCCCATTCATTGCAAATGTACACCTCACACAAACATCAAACCAGCCTCGGCTGTTTCACCGATTCGCCTCAAAATCGCTCCACATCATCTCAACACATGTACCTTCAAAATGACTTCAGGGAATTTTGATCCGTGAAACGCTGTTTGAGCAGCGGAGCGGCAAAATGTAAGGGTTTTTTTGGCTCTTTTTGACAACATTAATTTTGCTCCTGTTTGCACAAACAAAGTCTGATTTGCACAAAACTTTCATCCATTGTTCAATTCCAGGGTTTAGGTCAGGTTAAAGTGAAATATTGGAAATCGGCCCCTTAGCGCCCCCTACAGACTGTGTCAAAGTTTACATGGGGAGCCAAACCAGCTCTACTTATCATATTCATTACAATTTGACTAACATTCTTCTATGGCTACGGAAACAAATCATCACACGGCGGTGCTACCTCCTTTTAGCGGTGCTGCGTGGTACGGTGTGGTGCGGCGTAGTGCGGGGCGTTGTGGAGCGGCGCGTTGCGGCTTGGTGCGGGGCGGCGTGGTGCGGGGAGTGCGCGCGGTGCAGGGAGTTGCGCGGTGCGGCGAGGGCCGTTCGACGCCGCTTGCGGCTTTAATTTCACATTGATTTTTCCCAGTAAGTAAATATTACTCATTTATTTTTAGTTTATTTAAAGCTTGGCTATATCACTCAGGGCCTTCTTTGAATTGAGCTGTCTCTGTTAAAGTAAGCCACACTTTTGGTATTTTGAACGTGTAGAGCAGCCATTCCCAAACTCAGTAACACCGAGGCCCCCTTAAAAATCTGACGGGTCTGCGTGGCCCCCCAAAATAATAACCAAGAAGACAACATTAAGAATAGGCTCTTCTGGTTATTTTATTTTGGGGAAATAGCCTCTGCTACAAACATTGTAATACAAAAATGATTACAGTGGATTATTCAAGTCAAATAATAATATGTATTCAACACAAATATTTTAATATTACAAACAAAACATTATAAATTTAACATTAAATAATTATATATATATATATATATCTATATATTTTTTTTTTTAATGACCTCCCGCGGCCCCCCTGCAGTACCCTCGCGGCCCACCAGGGGGCCGCGGACCCCACTTTGGGAGACACTGGTGTAGAGTATTGAATAGGGCAGGTATGATCAAGGCAGGGGCTGACTCGGTAGCACCTTCGCCTCTCGATTGAAAGATTCTGAGTATGAATCCCGGTTGGAGCAGGAACTCTCTGATACATGCATAAGTTGAATTCACAGCTACACTTTATTGCAATCACTTAAGTTCACTTGGTAACATCAAGTTAAGGATGTACTCGAGGAATTCAAGTGACATTAACGTGCAATTTATTTCCAAGGTTTTTTCAAGTATACTTTTCTTGTCAGGGTTTACAGTGTGGGCAATTCCCCTCTATGTATTCCAAAAAATAAGTTTCTTCCCACTGCAGATATATATTTTTTCTGTTAGTGAAAAACAGATATGTAGCATGAAGTGATACATAATTAAAAAATCTTATCTTAATAAAGAGTTTGTTTTATTGCTTTATTGTGATAAGTGACAGGGATGTTATCTATTCATTAATACCTCTTGTTTGACCCAACAGAAAAAGAGTTGTGAAGAAATAAAATGTGAACAAATCAGATCAGGCCAAACATACATGCATGTGAAAACTAGTGAACCAGTCTGTTTTGACGCCAAGGAACTCACTTTTTATTTGATCACATTCATTTAAATATGTTGTGGTTTGAAAGTTCAGTACCCCAGCTTTAATCAGCAGTTGAATTGATTGTCCCCAACGCATCAAGGCGCCTTTCTGGTCTAAAAGCCAATAAATAGGAGAGAAAAACACTCATATATTATTGCATTTCCTATATTTGCAGCCTTGAGCCACAAACATATGACACCACAACACAATTCCACCTCAAGGGTATAGAGTTATGACATCCTAACAGGGTGACTGGTTCTTTGTGGCGCACCAAACCATTTCAGTACCTGCCTGTAATACCACTAAGACATATTCCCAATCGTCCCCTTGATGCTGCCTGACTTCTCCTCTCCTTTATTGCTATTTTAAGGTGAGAAAACGACATCTGCTTTGCTCATATCCACTCTTACCGGTCTTATAACACATGATGGATCGCCGTGGTTACACATGGGCACCCAAGCGTTAGGACTAAAACGCTCCCCTTCTAAAAAATGAAGAAGAAGAAAAAAAAACGCCACAGGCAACACTGGTCTTGATCAGTGGCCCGAGTCCTCCCACAGCGCCTTGGTTTCCGTGCCGCTTGTCTGTTGTCGTCCGTCCCATGGGGGTAACGTGGCCCCTGTTTAATGAGAGCAGTGACAGGCAGCAGGCCACAGATGAGATGTATAAGCCCAGAATAGTGGGTTATTGCTGGGGCTTTAGGGCTGGATGGCAGGTCGGGCCAGCGGAGAGGGCAGGCACAGGCACACCCCTCTTGTGTACATGTCCCACAAAGACGCCAAGCCCTGAATGATTTATGAGAGGGGAGGGAGGTGGGGAGGGGGCTGTTGCATCATTTCTGTCTGGGCTTCTCCGGTGTGGAGTCAGGGAGCAAACACATATACGTGACCATGCACCAACAAATACACATTTATTATTGTGGTTATTAGGTAGGTTTTTCAAATGATGTCACTTCACAGCAAGAAGGTCCTGGGTTCGATCGCGCCTCCAGGCCTTTCTGTGTGGAGTTTGCATGTTCTCCCCGTGTCGGCGTAGGTTTCCTTATTCCAACCTAGCACAAGAGCTCACCAGACTCCACTTAATTCGTCAAGTAAGTTCAGTCTTAAGCTCAAGGCTTGAGGAAAGGGCTGAGTCTGGTGTGCTCCTGCTTAGTTGGAAATAAATTGCTTCTTTATTATGCTGAAGTTAGAGAGTTATTGTTCATTTATCTTGTGTTGTGCGCTCCTCATTCCTACTGTTCTGTAACCGGTGATGCAACACTGAACTTTCCCCACTGTGGGACAAATAAAGGATATCTATTCCACCACACAGGGCCTTTCTGGAACCAGTTTGACGTCCCCAGTCCATGGAGATCATGTTTTGATTTGATTATGTATGGCAAAAATAGTGTATCCCATCATGTCTATTTGGATGGAACTGTGTGTAATAATGAACAGTAGTTTTGTAAAGGCTTCCCACAGCCGCTTTTAGTGGTAGAGGAAAGCGGAGCACCTGGAGGAAACTTGCGCAAACACGGAAAGAACATGAAAAATCCACATAGGAAAAGCCCAATCTGGAGAAAAAATTTAGTCCAGAACTCTTTCTTTCATTTACTTCTGTCATTGTCTTTATTAGTCCTTTGTCGCCTCTAATGTTTCAGTGCTCCACATTTTGTAAGTTTCAAATCAAATTTCTGATATCTTATCTGCAGAAAACAAAAAACAAAACATCGGTAGTGACATTTGGCACAAGCTTCAAATACCCTTACAGACCCCTTAAAAGTAATACACTAGTTTTATATAGAGAATAACCATTTAAATGCTTATTTTCTAACTGATTCTCCAAAAGTTTCACACAAAAGACAACGGAAAACATTGAACAGACAAGATTTTAAGACTCGAAACTAAAATATGTGTTTTGATTAGTCAATTAATTTCCATGTCTCATCTGAAGCCCAATGTGTGAAGTGGAAAAGGAGAATCAAACATATTATTTATGACCGGGCATTGAGGGAAACACGTCTGCATTCACGGGGACAACACAAAAAACACAAAAATATTTATCTTTCAAAAACAATTACTGGTTTTACGGTCATCTGGCCCATTTTCTAAAAGTATTTGGCGTATCTTTCAATCATGGCACGATTGTTGTCATTTGAGAGGTTCACTCGTGCTTCCAAAATGTATTGCAAATAATGGTACAATATTCATGATTTTCACAAAAGCAGCCTTAAGTGGCACGCAGCACAATCTCTCCAAGCTTACACGCTGATAATGTTGGTCTAATACACATAATACACAGTGATATTGCTGATTGTAGATTGGTGCTCTCGATAACAAAGGGCTGGCTGCGTGTGGACTGGGGGGGCACTGTGGGTATCCCCTGTGGAATATCCCAAATCCATCACCCCTCCTCCCCCCCCTGCCCTGCTGCTGCCCCGTACACACTGATTAAGACATGTCTGGAGGCTCTGAAGGACACACAGACATTATTAAAAGATAGGATTCTACAGTCTACCCCTTTGATTAAAGAGTCTCCTCCAATTACCAAAGGAACAAACTTAGAAAGCCAAATATATCGAGGTGCAAAGAAGCACGTCGCAGAGGAGCAGTATAAAAGCAATACCTGGAAATGGTGCTTTGTAATGTTCCATTTTACGGCTTCATTTGTAGCTTTTGTGAGCGTTATGTAAAGGGTATTCCCACTGTTAGGCGGGAGAATGCATTTGGCTGGATTTCAAATGTATGAATGCATGAATAAAATGTGTTTATTTCAAAGAATCTTTTGAGAAATCCCAACACGTCAAAGGAAATCAGGGAATTTTATCTCGTCAACGGGACAAAGCTTCAGTTTCAGCAGACAGCTCCAAAACACAGAGGGATGAATAAAGGATAGAGACATCTTCTTCTCCACACAGAGCTGACAAACGCCAATCTGCTTCTTAGTAACAGCGGCTCCCCTCCTCCTCTGGGATGGATGTGTGAGCAGGTTCTCATGGCTAATTCATTTAGCTGCTTTCATGAATCATATTTACCACCTGCTCCACTATTGTGCTGAGCTACAGTATGAGAAGTGTGAGTCCAGTCCAAACTCTGCTCGTGTTCAGGTGAGGATCTGAGTCAAACATACTCAAAGCCAGGTCGGTGTGGAGCTGTGGGCTATGAATAATGAAAGAGCCTCATAAACATGTACACGGGGCTCTGAGCATCTCGACGTACACACTCCTGACACATGCGTATACATAGCGCGTCCCTTTGTGGCCCGTTGCCATGCAACATGTCTCTGATTGGGTTAGCGCAGTGAGCCTCTCCACCACACCCTCGCTCCCGCAGGACCCAGCTGCACTTCCAAGGCCAAGACTGGAGCCAAGAGAGATCCACAAAGAGGACCTCAGTCTGGAGCAGGCGCCAACCACGTTTACGCTCACACTTATCGATCCACTTGTCTGATGTGTTAGCCTTGTGCGCTTCATTGTGCAAGAAGGACAGTGGTGATGATCCAGGACACTCAACATTCAACAAGATTTAAGGATATTTATCATCATTAATGGACATTGGTATAATGGTTATATGTGTTTTTTTATTATTGCATTTCTGTTGATTCTCTTATCCGTGATGGCGATTTCAGCGGTTTTGTTAAATTCTCCGAGATAGCTGTTGTGATTTAGGGCTACACAAGAATAAATTTCATTGGCTTGGAGTGTGTGGATGTGGTTGTGAGGTGGATGTTGGTCTAGCACAGTACACCAGTGTGCCTTGGCTCACACATGGCTGCTTACAGGTTGGAGCAGTCCTGGCATATTTGCTTTTCATTTGAGATGAGATTTCTCTGGAAATGTAAATTCAACCTGGCAGACTCTGTCTCATGAGAGCAGCTGGATGGATGTGAAAGATGTTTAACTTTATTTTCAATCAAAGCTTTTGGCTCCTGTGTGTTTTAGAAAATGATCTCGTCTGGAGCAAGTGGGACCCACCTAATTCTTTACTTCTGTCAGACCCACATGTGCCAGCGTTGCAGATCTATATATTTCATATTTGAAACAGCTTATATGTGACTTATCTTGAAAATGATTAGACATTGATTAGAAAAATGTTGTTTACAAAAATTTATTCATACAAATCTTACAACACTTTCATGACATTGAGAAACGTAAAACCCCATAAAGGATTCCTGTGTGTAGAACGATGCCACTTGTATTAAGGTTCACTTTGAAAACACATAGTTTTTCAGATATAGAAGAGAAGATTCAACATTTAAAGTAAGGCGTTTGGCGCTTTCAGAAAAAGATCAACCAGAGGCATTATCTATGACCGGAAAAACATCTCCGTCATGGTTTCGGCAATCCTCGTACTTTTGGATAGTGATGTACATGAGAAAGTATAAGTTTATATAAGGGGCTATTTTCTTGATTATAATGTACTGACCAATATCAAAGAAACAACACCTCATAGTCAACATTTATAATACCACTGGTGTTTTTTCACAACTCCCACAGACACTGAACACCCCATGCACACACATACATTGCCTGCTCCTTCAACATATACATTCTAGCCATTTGAATAATATTTTACTCACTATAAAGTATTGGCCATGCTTTAAAAAATAAAGCCTAATTACTACTACTGTTGGGGCGGATCAAGCCAAGCGATTAAAACATCGAAAAAGGAAGTTTGAATGTAAGCTCATGGACTGCAGCATCGTAGGGCCACTAAAATTGCCATCTGTCACTTGTGGCGAATTTTCGGATATTTTTTTGTCTTTTTTTTAGTTTTTTAGTTTTTTTTTGTTGTAATTCTCACGTCGAAAGCAAGGCACCGAAGCCAAAAGCTGTTTCCACCACCTCCACGTTTGATTCCCATTCACACAAACAAACACACGGATATACAGACGCTGATATTTTGCTAAACACCTACATTAATATCGCTTTGTAAGAAGAAAAGCCCAATTTTTATAGAGTATTTATAGTTTTGAATGGAAAAGAGGGATGCAGGCCAGAGATTGGATTGCAATGGATGCATGAACAAGCATTTGCATAATGTTGAATAAATTCATAAGATATACCAGTCTAATAAAAGTCATTGGGTGTCTCTCTCTCTCTCTATCTCTCTCTCTGGGCTGGAGAAACGTGGAAATCCCTTTAGTCTCTTCTTACAGTCAGCAACGTCTACACACTTTTCTACTTTGAATCAGCGTTTGGAAAATGAAAAAGAAATGAGGCTACATCTGCATTAAGGCTCAATCGCAAAGGCTTTTCTCAACACCAGTGCAGCTTTGCGTTTAAACATGTTTATCCGATAGAGGACGGAAGAGAGAGCGTTGGGACCATTTGTGCAAGTCCAAAGCAAATGGAGAAAGAAAAATGGTGCATCAAAAAAGGCCTTTTGGCATAAGACGAATGCCAAATGGGGACGCAAATCCTTGAAGAGATTTGCAGATTTGATGCCAGCAGGAATTTGGGGGCTAGTGGAGGTAATAGCATGAGCTGTCAAAACTATAGTCTATATGTGGCAAGTTTAAAACAGAAATTGCAATGGTTATTTTTAAATGTAGTAGCAAAAAGAACGACAATGATGTAATGCGTTGTCTTAAAATAGCATGCAATCAAGAATGAGAATTTTATACCAAAAAGATGTTGAATAGAAGTAGATTTATAACATGCAATGGCAGGCGAGTTCATTATTAACTTCCATAGTTAATAATGCCAAAGTTGCCCAATGAACAATGGCCAGACGCAGAGAAGGAGAAAGAGGGGGGATTAAAATGTTTGAACCAAAGCTGCATTCGAGTAGAAGGCCTCCAGTTTTCTATCATTTTTTTGACAACAATGGGGGAATTCAACACCTGACCTGTATAAGGTCAGGCTCATTGACCCTCTCGTTTGTCCAGTCTAAGTCTGTCTACATGAAACACCACACAGAGACGATCAGAAACGTTCCATCTTCTCCTCAATCATATCTCACCTCACATTCGTATATATATCTCTCTCTCCCTTCTTAATTCATCTCATCCTCACCTTCACGCTCTCAGCACACATCCAACATGAAACCGTCTACAGCACCGTCAAGGCAAAAGGGACTAAATATCTACTTCAGCACAGCCATTTAGAAGCGAAATAATCTAAGAACTATGCTATACTACTTGTATACTACTACTGCTATTACTAGACTACTATAGACTACAGGAGACGAAGGCAATCGGGTTAAAAAAATAGAGGATGAGGGCGTCCAGTGTCAACAAGTCAGTGCAATACCAGTCATCACCACAGCTAATCTCCCACAGGAGGAGGTGTGGTGCAAAATTAGTCTTAAAGCATAAAGGCCGAAGCCAAAAAGAACAAACAAAAAAACAAATCTCTATATCGCATGCAATTTCTAAAGCCAAAAATCAGCCTCTACATGCACCATTGAGGATGGGTACGCTGACATGGATTTCTCTCTGGTTCAATAGCAGCCTGCCTCAAGAGTTTGTCCTCATTTTTCTGAATGAAACCGTGACTGAGCGGGCATGCACTGGGCTTTGTCATGTTCTCTCTCCTTACACAATATATGGATGCATTTTTGTACACTTGTTTTGAGGCGAGTGAGCAAATCTGTGTAACATATGCCCCCGCAAAGAGGATTTTTTATTTTTAAAGATAAGATTTAGGCCTTGTTATTACTTTTTTTTTTTTTTTTTTTCACTCAGACCTTCGAATTAAAGGCCAAACACCAAAGCCACGTTGCTCACCAGTCAGGAGAAAAACATTGATGGTTGATATAGAGTAAGCCTTGGTTCACAGAGCATGCTCACTGCTTCTTTGGGCCTGTTCCAAAAAAATAATAATAATGAAAAAAAAACAACACTAAAAAAATAGGTTACAAAAATAAGTATAACATTCAATACTTTGATTGTCTTTTAAAATCTATTTATTTTCTGCATATGTAGATGACTTTTAAAGACTTCAAGCGCATAATGTTGAAGGTGCACATGTATATCTCTTTTCTTTTTAAGCAGTTTTCATTTTTTTTCTCATTTTCTTTAACATCTTGACATGGAAATAAAAGATTGGTCCACAACTGTGCGTGAGGTTATGTCTCGAGAAGAGGTGCTTCAGTACAAAAAGAAAAAAAAGCGATATTATTAATAAAATATTCATTTTAATGGCTTTACTTCATACATAAATACATGTTGAAAGAACACAGGCGCAATCCACTGGTTGGCAGATATAGGTGGATGGATTTGATAACGACTCGATGTATTTACACAGTTGGGCAGTTTGGGGCAATCTCGCAAAAAAAGACGCTACAAGTAGGCCAGGCCGCGGCGTCCTTTGTTTCTAACTCTCTGTCTGTACCTTCTGCCCAGAACGGCTGCCAGGTATTTCTGCACGGCCATTTGCTTCCTATAGCGGCTGTAGCTGTCAGTGAAGATCCCATCCGAGTGTCTCTTGGATAAGGGCTCCGACTCTTCTTCCACGCTGTTGTCCTCGCTGGAAAATAAACACAGAGAGAAAAAAGACAAAAAAAACAGTGAAAGCGTGCTGTGTTTGATAATACAACTCCCCCCCCCCCCCCCCCCCCCCCCCCCCCCTTTCCCATTTTGATTGAATCCCAAACGTATACAAGTGCAGTCACGTCAGCCTGCCTCCTGCTTGAAAAAAAAACATATACAAAAATAGGCCTTTGGATCCGTGTGCGTCAATTATTCAACATTTGTCTCCCATTGTGCATTCTGACGCGGGTTTTATTTTAGTGCAATAAAAATAAATAATAATAATCAATGTATGGGCTGTGTTGTTGTAATATCCCTGGCTTGCATTGCTTACAAAACATACGCCATGCATGCAACACATAAAAATAAAATAAAAAAACAGGAACAAGACAAAGCAGGACAAGCGAAATAATACATGAGATGGAAGCAAATGATTGTCTATGTAACGCGAATAAGAGGATGCCCTTACCCTGCGCGTATTGTCACCAGCGAATGCAGATAATGTCTCGCTGTTAACTGACGCAGGATGTCCCTCAAGGCTCTATCTAATTCCTCCTCTGCATGCCTTTCTGATCTGAGATGATAAAACGCCAAAACACACATATCAATCCAAGGAAGACTCCAAAAAAGGGGAAAGCGCAGACAATGATTTTAAAAATATATAAATATACAGCCTTAATAAATAGCCCCTTTATACGAGTATTAAGGCGTGTGCATTTCAGGCTACGTGGGGGGTACCAGACAAGCACACGGCAGCATCAGAAGACAATGTATTAATAGCACATATGGAGTTACCTTTTGTCCGTGGGGTAGAACAGGCTGTAGGAGTCGTCCGGGCTGCGTATCGCTATTTGGTCCGTGTCAAAACCCATGTCCGATATTGTGTTCCCGTCCTCATCGAAGGCGTCGTTGTCTAGTCTGAATGGGGAGGGAGAAAAAAAAAAGGACAAATCAGGATGGCTGCGCGGCGAGCGAGCGAGTGTGGGTGGAATATACAGTGGAAGAATGCGCAAAAATAAATAAATAAAATAAAAATAACAAATAAAAACAGGCAAGAAACGCAGTTCTTTTGCAGGATGTAAAATGTAAAAAACGAACGAAAAGTAATTAGAAATGCGTCATAATGTTGCTTTTGAAAGTCAGAACAAGCATAGTCTACAAAAACGATTATACAAACTGAAATGATGAAATAACTCTTGTGATTTGTGTGTTATTAATGTGTTAAATGTGCACAAAAATGTTTTAAACCCGGCTGTTAGAAATGGAATTTGGACTCGTTCCCTTTTTGCGCATTAATAATTAAATAATGCGAACAATGGGTGTGAAAACTCCCCCGTACCGAGTTGGTGTGCACACTAAAATGTTACATGCTGGTGATGGGAAATGAAATACAATAATGCGGCTATTAAGACGTGCACTCTAACCACGCCCAAAATCTCAGACTTTTGCCATGATAACAAGAGAGGAGGAAAACAAGATGCAAAGTGGCTCAGATTTCTTCTTGGCTCTTAATACGCGTGACGACAGCCCCCGTCATCCCGAATTCAGATTAATAAGAAAGACTTGTGTAGAGCGTCCCAGCGGACCCATGGCTCATACACACACACACACACACACACACACACACATGCACACGCACACACACATACGCGCGCTTTGACAACTATGGCTTTCATCAATCAAACCTGCGAAGACCTCAAAGTGCAAGAGCGCAGCCGCTTCTGTGCGTAATTAAGTTGGACACATGAATAAAACTATACGCTCGAATCAAAGCGCCGTGCCAAGAAACCACCATTGTCCTTGCCATTACGCGCCACCCATAAGTGTTCCCAACGAGACACCTACCTGATTTTAGGGTAACTTAGTCCTAGGGGAGTGCAGAAGACGCTGTAGTGCACTAAGATTCCGTAGATGAGTAAGATTAGTGTGGCTTTACTCGAACTGGCCATGCTGCGGAGAAACGCAAAAAGAATCTTCGTTACACTACATAAAACAATCAAAGCAATCAATTTCTACATATAAGACAAGCTGGAGTTCTAACCAAAAAACTACGTAAATATGTTAAACGTGCACATGGAAGTTACAGTCAATCCTTTACATGCAGGGTATCCACATAACTGACTAATTCCTGAGACTTTTACGCAGCGTTCAGCAGTGTCCATGCATACCTATATCAAGAAGAAAGGGAGAACTGGAGGCGCTCGTTGCTTCTACTGGCTGATGCTGCTGCTGATGCCGCTGTTACTGGAAAGGAGACAGAGGATGTGGGAGGAAGAGGGGAGGCAGGGTCCGGGCGTGTCTGCGTGCGAGTGGAGAGAGCGCTCCTATATCACCCCTTTTGGCTGAAGCGCCTTCTCCGCGAAGACTCTCAAAGCTTTATGTCGCCCTCAGCTCCACGTCTCTCTCTCTCTCACTTTGGACTTGGGAGTCGGTGAAAGAAATGAAAGAAAGAAAAAAAAGAAGACGAGAGAAGTGCGCGCACTGGGAGAAGGAAGAAGGGGGAAAAAACCGCCTCCTGTAAAAAGTCACAAAACACAACGAGCGCTCGTCGTGTGCGTCTTCATATCGCGCTTCTCTGGAAACTTTTGTCCTGTGCTGTGATTGCCTTGGATTTTTATCTCCCCTCCGCCCGCCCCCCATATGTCACATTAAGGATGCTGCAGACGTCATCAAGCCTCCCTCCCGGAATATAATAGTACAGTTCCTCCTTCGTCAGACCCTATCCCACCTGCCTCTGTGCATGCACCCATCCATCCCCCTCTTTTCTTTTGTCTCTTTCAAGTTTTTTTCAACCCAAACTTTACTCTTTTGAACCACAGAGACGCACACCGCTGCTATGTGACGGCCATTAGCAATCAATTTGAGCACTCACCGCGTCATCAACGAGTCCAATTAGGCTCGCATGATTATGGCAAGGCTGGGAAACGATTGGTTGGGGTTTGTCATAACAGGGATCAGGCTTCAGAAGTTCAAGGCCTCCAGGGACCGTCGCTGTCCGCTGCTCCAGTGACTCGTCTCCGGTTACACGGCAGCGCGTCTCAATCTTTTCTATCCCTTTACAATCACCAGCGACGCACGTTTATCGTTAATGGCCGTGCGTGTTTCTTTGCAGCGTCATTTGGTGCAATAACGCAGGCCACATTTCCACTCGTGTGTGAATTCATCTTTAACGACGAACTAAAAATGATACATAAGAAGATTTTAAACGAAATATATATGAATATGTTTTGTTTTTTCGTTTTGTGAATAAGGTTTGAGGGTGGAACAGCAAGGCCATAGAAAGCCTTAGAACAGTGTCTCCCAAAGTGGGGTCCGCGGCCCCCTGGTGGGCCGCGAGGGTACTGCAGGGGGGCCGCGGGAGGTCATTAAAAAAAAATATATATATATATATATATATATATATATATATATATATATATATATATATAATTATTTAATGTTAAATTTATAATGTTTTGTTTGTAATATTAAAATATTTGTGTTGAATACATATTATTATTTGACTTGAATAATCCACTGTAATCATTTTTGTATTACAATGTTTGTAGCAGAGGCTATTTCCCCAAAATAAAATAACCAGAAGAGCCTATTCTTAATGTTGTCTTCTTGGTTATTATTTTGGGGGGCCACGCAGACCCGTCAGATTTTTAAGGGGGCCTCGGTGTTACTGAGTTTGGGAATGGCTGCCTTAGAATATTCAGGCACCAAAATGATTTCTCCTGGATGCTTTTGCGCATCGGGGGACTCATTATTAGGTATTAATAAGACAAATTAACTGCAGCAACACTGCGTGAACTTGGCTACAAACGTGTGGAAGCTGAGTGAGAACAGAACTGGAGAGGAGAGAGAGAAAGTGAGCCCAAATGAGTGGAAGTTTTTGGAGACTTTAAATTTGCATGAATAAAGATGTCCAAGAATTTTGTCTGGTAATTAAAAGGGGCAGAACATTGTGTGCTATGCCACAGCTGAATCAGACATATAGCTCGCCAACCCTTTTTTATATTATTTATTTAAATTCACGTCAGCATTTTGTTTTCCTCTGACGCAATATGACGAAGGGAGCCAGTCACTACCTCAGGACCTATCCATAACAGCAGTTTTACGGGGCGTGAATCCAGCTTGGAACACAACTTAAAGCCCATATGTGCTGAAGAGGACCGCTCATGGTGGGCAGCAGGTATACAGAGAAGAGCGCAGAAGGATGGGCACACGGCTCCCCCAAGCGGAGAGCGGGGGACACTGCAGGCGCACTGTCCAGTCAGCAGTGCGCACGAGGATGGAGCCAGTATGAGTCACACGCAGCCTCCCTTTGGTCATTAGTGAGTCTGGAAATCTAATTGCTCAAAAGCCATGCGATTATGGATAATGCCCCCAATCAAAATATAAAGGTTGGGATAACTTTGAGACCTGTACTTGGGCCATTCATGACTTTCACAAGTAATGAAATCTTTGCAACAACTTGACATTTCACATCCTGTCACATCAGAATGTGGTTCTATTCATAGCCATAGGGAAGAAACTATCTCTGCAATGACAACTTCCTCATATACAGTAAATGCATTCACCTGTAGCGTCTGTGTTTGTATAACAGAGGATTCTTCTTGTGTGTATAGAGAAATTGTGACTTTGCAATGGGACATTCAACTCAAAAGTATTAAAATTTGGATTTGGAAAGGGTTTGCAGAAGGTCAATATTTAGAATCTATACCTGAAATTAAAAATGTATTTTCAAATAAGTGTCATCCTGTATTTTTGAAATGTGTTCCCTGTATTTGACCCATTCTGAAATGCCAGAAAAGCCTGCCTCCAGATGCCGATCCTTGACTTCATCAGGACCAGAGCTGGAGAATTTCACTTAGCGTTCATGCTTTAACGGTGGGCATGAGGAGAACAGGCAAATACAGCTCAGTAAGGTCATATCAAGAGGTGGAATTGAACCCATGACCTTCTTGTCGAGAAGTGAGTGTGCTAACCACCACCAGTTGTAATTGAGAGATATAAGTATTGGAATACTGCAATGTATGCTTTCAAACAAGACCCCTGAAACTGTACAAGATGTCTGCCATACAGCTTTAAGGCAAACTGCTGAAATTATTCAGAATATTAGAAAGAATGGACAACAATGTAATTCAATAATGTAATTAGATTATAGTGGGCCATTCCATTGTTTCATATATGACCTTTACTAATGTTGTAGTAACAAAAGTCTTTGTGGAAAATAAAAACATTGCCTATCATGCTTTTTTCTGATAGACCCGAGATACAGTGTTATCTTTACGAAGGTAATGTTTATTTATTTTTTATTTATTTATTTATTTCAAAACCTGCACAAAAACAAGTACAAATATCAATTATCAAATAAAAAGAGTCACAAGTTTTGAAAAGGGGGTTGGGTGAAGCAGACGCTTATACATTTCCAACCCCCTCACACTTTCAGCAAAACAGCAAATACAAATTACACTAACACTGTACAGTTATATCATTGCATCAAATACAAAATGCAAAATAATAATAATAAAAAAAAAAACAAGACACACAGTGACAAGACGCACACTCATTCTCTCACTCACACAGACACTGGCCCAAACACTCCCTGACCACACACCTCTCTCCCACCGCTCTGTCCAGGCCCAGGGCATCACTCTCTGTCCTCTGTGTATTTCTTCAATATGTCTCTTTTAAATTTCTTTTTAAAAGCAGTCGTAGTTGAGCATGTTTTTAATTCTTCTTTTAATCCATTCCAAATGTGGACGCCTCGGACCGAGATACACATAGATTTTAATGTAGTCCTAAATTTAGGTACATATAAAAGTTTGTTTCCTCTTAATCTGTAATTATGATGAGCATCTCTATCGTTGAAAAGATGACTTATATTGGACGGTATAGTTTTCAGATGCCATGAACATTATCTGAGCAGTTTTTAGGACGATCAAGTCCTGCAGTTTCAGTTGCTGGTTTTGAATGAACAGAGGATTGGAAGGATGTCTGTAGTGGACGTTGGACACAATCCTTATAGCCTTCTTTTGCAAGATAATCAGAGGCTGTAAGTGAGATTTGTAGCAATTACCCCACACTTCCACACAGTAATTTAAATATGACATTATACATGAATGATACAGTAACATAAGAGCATTGGTATTGATCAGGTGACTTGCTCTCCTCATTATTCCCACACACTTAGCAACTTTTGTCCTCAAGTAACCTATGTGAAGTTTCCAGCTCAGATCTTCATCTATTATCACTCCCAAGAAAACGTTTTGTGGAACTTTGTGAATCGGTGTGTCATCAATTGTAATTCTAACTGGAACTTTACTTTTGCGATTACTAAAAAGCGATGTTCACCTGATAGTCCATGGATTTCCCTCAGGCCTTTGACAGAACAATCCCCGATGATAAGAAATGACATGTTCTTTGCACAACACCCAGGGGGCGCCCAAGCTCTGCATAATTCAAGACTTGATCTCAAGGTTCAAATCAGTTTGTGTTTTCAGTATCATGCCAAACAAGTGCGTACTGAAGCCAGGCACAAAAGAACAGCAGTGTTACTATGCACACGGCAGGAGGAGAAGCACATTTTATCAAATTGATGCCGGTTTTTGATCAATCTAAGTGTCGGCCATATTGAGTACACGGGGAAACTGTTCAATGAGAAAAGAAGGAGCTTTCAAAGACCGTCGAAACAAGGAATGCTATCATCCTGTATAAATTATGATATAGGATAAAAAAATCACACAAAACAAATACACCCAAACATAAATGTCTTTTAGAATGGAGAACAGTATCATGGTTGCGTAATTTAAATACTCACGATTAACCACTCAATTGAAACGAGACAAAGCTTTTCGGACTTTGCATGAAATGTGCTGTGCAAATATATCTTCTCATTCAATACAATATAGAGCTTTAAAAATCACAATAATACCTTTAATATAAAGTTGCTGTACTTGCA